GGGAGTGGGGGGGTCTTGGTGGCCCAGCAAGGTGGATGTGGTGGGGGTGGTGGGGGGGTTGGAAACGATTATAGGTTGGTAAAGTGGGGGGGAGGGTTTTGGAAACGATTTAGGGAGCCAAAGGTGGTGGTGGGTCAGGATGTGTGAGGTGAGCTCTGGAGGCATGGGAAGGGGCTGGGGGAGAGGAGGTGGTGGGGAAGGACTGGTGAGGAAAGAGGTTCTGGGGGCCAGTATTTGGTCAGTGGGTGTTGGGGAGGGGAGCCATGGCTGGGTCTATACCCACAGGAGGTTCTGCAGATGAAGGGGAGCGATGGTAGGGACTGGAAGGGGGTCAAATGACTGCAGAGATGTTGGTTGTTGAGACCATCTCTGCCGGTGGTGGGGTGCTGCTGGCTGTGTTTGAGAGGGCTCAGCTGCACTCGGGTGTTATGGTGGGTTGATACCAGCAGCGGTGGGTTGGTTGTCTTGGAGCAGAAGGTCACATCTGGAGTTGATGCAAGGATGCAGGCTTATCCCAGCATGGAGCAGGAGCCTGGGCAAACAGGGACAGCCAAAAAAATGTGCAGCATATGTGTGATGGGAACAATCTGCAACTGCGGCGTGGAGGCTTTTTTGGGTCTTTGTGGTCTGTGGGAATGTGAGGTGCTTTGCTTTGGAGGGGGACTGGTGTGGGAAGAACTGTAGGAAGGGATGTAGATTTGGAAAAAAAAAAAAAGACTGTTCCTGGTGAGGCTGTTTGTGTAAGCAGGTTGTTCTCCGGGAGAATTGAGCTGTACTGGGGTCTTGAGCTGTGTGTAAGTGCTGGGTAGATGGGGATTTATTGGTTAGTTATTTTGAAGGTTGTGTGTAGTGGTCGGCGTGTGGAGAGAAAGGAGGAGCTAGGGAAGGTGAAGGGGGGCTCAGGATGGAGAGGCTGCTCCTTTACAGGATCCCTGGAAGGGACTTCTGTGGTTTTTGAGATCTGTGCCTGTTGTGTATTCTTGGCCACGCTGCCTGGTGAGGGTGGTTGGGGCTGCAATCATTTGCAGTCTGGTGGTCATCGCTGGCCGTAGATGCTGGAGATCTCCTGTGTGGTGTGGAGATTTCCGGGTGAAGAGAGGAGATTGCAGGGGGTTTGCTGTGTGCAGTGGGTGAGAGTGACTCGGAGAGGTGGGGAGGGGAGGAGGAATTGAGAAGGGAGCGTAAACAGAAATCCCTTGTCATCCCCCAGCTCCCCGGTAGCCCTGGCAGAAGCAGCTGCAGTGAATATCTCTCCTTGCCTCTCGACCTCTTGTTTTGCTGGTGGACTCTGCTTTTGTTAAACACTTTTAATTTCTATTTTCCTTTGCGTTTGGTAACTTATTTGTGTTTACATGTGTGCTGCTCTTTGCCTATATTATTTAATTTGAGATTATTTCCATGACGTGCGTCATCTTATGTGGGTTTATTTATTTTGGGTAGGATTTTTTTTCATAGACAGATGCAAACGAAAATGAAAGTCCCTATTAAAAATAGACACTTTTTCTCCTTCAAGGTGGGCATACATGTGATTTTTTTGTTGTTTTTTAATGTGAAAACCTTATCTTTCTAGAATGTAATTGAAGAGTGCTTGTTGCTGGGGGATTGTTTTCAGAGTTAAAATCAAGGAGGCTTTTGCTAGCTGAGGAGATGTCGATTTTTTTTTTTTAGCCTGTCTAGTGAGGAAGAGGGAGATCTGTGTCATCTTCCTCTCTGAATTTTTCATCTCTCTTCCCCCATTACAGTAACTGTTTGGCATTTCTGTCCTCATGAATGCATAATATTCTTCAGACATGCTGGTGATTATTTTTTTAGGCAAATACATGGATTCCATGTGACCACTAGAGGACTTAAATGTCAAGACCTTTTGTTTTATAAAAACAAGAAGAAAACAACCCCAAGATTCCCTTAAAAAAAAATAAAATAATCCCTGGTACCTCTGCCAATGGTGCCACCTGCCAGTTATCGAAGAGGTTCCCAAAGTATTGACATTTTAACTTCATGATTACAGGCTCCCAAGGGAGCACACCCCAGGACTAAAAGTAAGGCCAACCTTCTGAAGCCTTTCACAGAGGGGCCTTTTGATCTGATGCACAATCAGAAAACAACTTGATGTTGAAGCTGTCTTTAAATGATAGCAACTGTTGGACAGTTTAATGAATTTCAGAATTATGTGACTCACACTGAAGTGCTAAATGTCTCTACACTGTAATTTATTTATTTTTTCCTCTGTGGCCTGCTTTTGCTTTTGTTGCACCCAAGAATCAAATTGCACTTTCACTGATGGTTGGGCATAAGTGTGAGGTTCTTGCCATGTGAAGTGTGAGCCTGCTAAGGTGGCAGCACTTCCTGAAATCAGCCTTTGTGAATGTTGTGTAGGGTTAAACTCCACTCTTAAGGCTGTGTTTGAATTTTCCACTGAGATGTGCAATTTCAAAACAGATGGACATGAATTATTATTTTTATTTCTCGTTGAAATTTGACTTAAACTCTACAAGAACTACATGTGGTCTGTGGTTTTGTGTGTGTTTTTTTGTAGGTGAAAGTTACACAAGAGCTAAAAAACATTCAGGTTGAGCAGATGACAAAACTTCAGGCCAAGCATCAGGCAGAATGTGAGCTACTTGAAGATATCAGGTAAGGTTACAGAAAATGTTACCAAAATTCCTTCTAAGATCCAGTTTTTGGAAGAACATTTGAGTTACAAAACTTCAGGAACTGACGATGGAATTTCCTCTTTGGATTTCCTGCTTTTAGGCTGTTAAAGTTTTGACACAGCTGGAAATTATAACTGGAGCTAACACAATGCAAACCATTTTTTCTTCTCTTCAATGAGGGAAATGTTTTAAAAAAAATGAAGTCACAAACAACATATAAAAAGCATTGGTCTTTTCAGCAGTATTTCTCTATTTAATAGGCTAAGACTTTGATTTACTGGTTCTGAGAGGCTGCTAAAATTATTAAAATATTTTCAACCCACTGATGATTTATGCCTTGCTAGAGACAGCTTTAAACAGCACTTTTAAATAGATTGCATTTTTAACCAGAAACTTATAAGAAGATATTTGCATTTATAATTTAAAACTCTGCACAGGTTAAGTTCAGTGGGCGAAATCTACATGACATCATTTGTGGGGGTTTTATTATTTTACCTAATGTGATGGCTTCTCTGGAAAGGAAAAGTTTGCTGTTAACAAAATACAGTGGTAATTGGTACCTGGCATTATATGGAAGATTCATCATTTAGAGAGGTTCAATTTCTAGGATGGTTCTTCTGTACAATATTCAGCAATGAGTTCAGTGCTGTCCTGCTCTTTTTGGCAGTCTATAGCCCACCCATTAATTATTTAAATGAGATTTCTTGCTTTATATTTGTATATAAAATGCAAATGTGGCCACTTGGACAGAGGACAAACTGTTTGTCTCACTCTCACAGTGTCCTCTCATCATAAATCAGAATGTTGATCCTTGAGCCTTCTCTGTTTTTCTTCTGTGGGTGTTGAAACACTTTTTTTGGTGTGGGAAAGATCACAGCATTCATTTCCTTAGATTAAAATGAGTGGCTGTGCAGTGTTTAACTAGTGAATGCTGAGTAATAAGTAACAGACTGATCCAAGGAATTTTCCCCCCAGATAAAAGCTTGTTTTTACAACCTCTAGACCAGGTACTGCTGCTCTAGTCCAGGGTTTATTAGCGTTTCCTATTTTTCAGGAGTTTGTAGTTGCTTCTTTCTGTCTTCTGCTGCAGGATGTGATAAACATTGTTAGCCTGTGGATACAAAACCAGCAAAACAGTTGAAAATAACAGCTTAAAATCTTTTTCTTTAACGTGATGTGATTTCTGTGGTTAATTTAATTTCTAAATATGAATGTTACAGATTATGAAACGGTGTTAATATATTTAATTCACTGACACAGTCACCAAATGTTCTCTGTTCAGCATTCTTGCTGCATGCAGTCTGCCTGTGCAGAAC